GATGAATGGTGCCAGGCATTACAGTAGGAGGTCCCACCAAAACATGATCATGAACTGACAGACTAAAATACTGGGACTCTTTATCTAAGGATCATGGGACCAAGTCAAAGCTCTACAACAGGGTTTCTCAACAAGGGCTTCCTGGAACCTTACGGTTCCTCCAGAGGTTGCTAGGGGTTCCTTGAGCAATGAAAAACTTCTGAATCTCAGATAAGTTCCCGCTGACATCATAGATATTTCTAGTTATCTGTAAGGGGATAATTCCTCCAAGTGTAAGGAGCATTTTTCCCACTGACCATCAAACTAATGTGTCATGAGTTGTAGATATAGTCTATTTTAGCAGGGGTTCCCTGAGACCAGAAAGTTATTTCAAGGATCCCTCTGTGTTGAAGAAGTTGAGAAAGGTTGGTCTACAAGGTTGTGTTTGTGGTCAGGTGTCCACAAATGTTTGGCTATATAGTGTAAGCCACTCTTCAAGAGTTGGAGCTGTGCCATTCAGAGGAATTTCAACATGTAGTCACATACAGTACTTCAAAGCCATTGTAAATTACATAGATCACTAATAACACCAAGAACAGAGTACACAGGAAATATAAAGTATTCATAGCAATACAGTGTTATTTTTTTTCTTTCTTCTATTGGTACTGTTTAGCTATCTGGAAAGAAAAGTAAATCTTGCAATCCTGCAAAGCAGTAACATTTACCACTTGAAGAATCACAAAAAAGCTCATGACTTTGCCAAGTAAGCTTGAGTCCCGGTCGTTCATTTCTTGAAAGTCTCCAAAGCGGTGGCTTGGGAGAGGAGATGCCGCTCGCTTGGAGTGGTGAAAATATTGACAGCATTCTGCTAAAGGCTGTACACAGATTGGATTTGTGATCTCATTTATGGAAATAGGTACGCTGGGAAATGCAATTACTATCTGTAAATCATCTCGCTATAACCTTCCATTTCAATATCCTTAAATAGCAGAAAGCAACTGAAGCTATTTTAGTTAAAGCTTGAAGAGTATAAATCCTTGTGGCAACATTCATCTATCAAGGGATTTGATGTTCTCCAAAGTACTTGTTGGTATTAGGAAGGCAATCATTCACGTCGAGAGGCCTTCTTTATTGATATGCATGCGTTAAGTGTTTTATTATTTATAGTTAAATGCTATCTGATGTATTTGGGGGGCAAAAAAAAAAACATTTTATTGCACTTGTTATATATAGAATATATTAATGTATTTATATTAATATACATACTGTGCATGTATATATATATATTCTATTTCAGAATTGTGCTAATTATAGACGTGTGTAAATTATAATCCAACATTACCACATAACAGTCCTGTATATAAAAGTCCATGAATAAAACTATGAAACGGTCCACCAATCGTTATCAAACCTACATAGGCTGTTCAATTAATTGGGATCAGATTGTGTAATAACAGACGCTTCAAACAAACCCTCTTTTTGGAAACACACCCTTCTTATGGATTGATACTGATTACAAAAGTCTTATTGAGCATTTATTCAAATCAATTGTACTCCATAAACTCAGCAGGACTCTCCCAAGAAATCCAGCAATCCTCTCAGCTCAGGTGATAAAGCATGGGTAGGACCTCGAAAAGCTACAAAAACTGACATAGTGCTCACTGAGGTATTTTCATTAAGACAAGAAAAAAAAAATTGCACTCACCTAATATTTGAATAAAATCACCAATATAACTTTGAACCCACTTCAATGCTGCTCGGGTGGATGGCTCTAACATGAGCAATATACAGATACCTCTGTATGCATGAGGCCTGGGAGGCACTTAACATATGTTTTTCTTGTAATCTGCAGCTGTACCTACAGTACTTCTAATGTTATAAATCACTTTCTAGCAACCAAGAGTAGGCTTTAACCAAAGGAAGGACAGGGCTAGGAAGGACGGGGCTAGGAGGAGGATAGACTCACACTGTACACAACTGCTAGACACCTGAAATCCATAGAAGCAGCATGCAATTTGATGTAAGCCAAAAACTTTATACATTTTAATTTTTCTGGTGGTTTCCCTTTTTATTGTAACATGATATTCTGTATTTTCCTCCATGCACATTAGGAGGCAGCAGTCCTATGACAATATAAAAAGCTCAAGGCTGAAGGCTAATTGGCTTTTTCCAGGATAGGGACCCTTCAGGTCATTGCTAATCTCTATTTAATTTATAGAAAGCAATACATCAATATAGTTGACAATCTTTACATCCAAGGTAATCAAGGATGTTGAACAAACTGAACATCATATTTATAGGTGTTGGGGTTTCTCTGTGCATTGTACGTTTCATAGTCATTATATTTCATCAAGAGTAATGTTCTGTTTACAGTATAGTATACATCTTCAAATTGACCTAATACTTTATTATGACCTAAAAGCACATACTTTGTCATGAATTTAATTCCAAAATCATTCCTGGTTTCATAACATACTGAGAATGTTGGTTGGGTGCTAGACCCAAATGTGAATGTAAAAAAAAATCAAGCTTGACTTTTTTGAGGCTGCTGTAGGCTGTGGAGTTCATGGAGTCACCAAAACAGTTTGAAGAATTAGAAGGTTTCAATCACTGCAAATCAAGAGGAGGTCCAGTAAAATGTTATTTCTCAAAACAAAAGGTCAGAGTAAAAAGCCAATGTATTTCAAAGCTCAAGGAAGTCATTGGACTCAGCAGTTAGATTGTACCACCATCTTTGGAGTTCTTACATCCAATTGAAGGGAGGTTGTATATTAATGTATACTGTTTGGTTTTTAACAATGTTTTTATAATACTATATATATATGTCAATAAATTAAGTGGATTTTAATAACCTGTGTTGTATGAGGCGCCACAAAAGTCAAGCTTGCTCCTCTCCTAGTTTCGAAGCTCAGCAGTCCCACTTCATCAGGTCTTGTTATTGTTGTGCCCAAAACAGTGTGAAGAATATGTAGAAGAAGTAGAAGTAGAAGTAGCACTACAAATCAAGCATAAGTACAGGAAATGGTATTTCTCACAACAAGAGATCAAAAGATAGATCCAATTCCCCTTCATTAGGTCTTGTTACTGGGGTTCCTGAAGCAGCCAGAAGAACATTTAGAAGGATCAGATCATCACAAACCAAGAGTAAGTCCATCAAAATGTTTTTTTTGACAACAAGACATCAGAAGACAAAGTCAACGTATTCTGAGGCTCACCAGTCCCCCTTCATCAGGTCTTGTTACTGGGGTGTCCAAAGCAATATGAAGAATGTGTAGGAGTATGAAAGCACCAAAAACCCAAGTGTAAGTCAGGTTAAACGGTAATTCTCACAACAAGAGGTCAATAGATACAGCCAGATATAGCTGTTTCAGGGGCTCACCAACCTCTCTTCATTAGGTCTTGTTATTGGTGACCCAAAACAATTTAAAGACTATGTAGAAGAATAAGAGTGCCAAGTAAGTTTAGAAAGTGTTTATTTATCACAACAAGAGGTCAGAGAATAAATCCAACACATTTCAGGGGATCACCAGACCTCCTTTATCAGGTTTTGTTATTGGGGTCCTTGAAACAGTGTGAAGAATATGAGAAGAGTAAGAGCGCCAGAAGAGTAAGTCCAACAAAATGTTTGTATCTTACAATAAGTGGTCAGAAGATAAGAGCTCACCAGTCTCCAGTCATCAGAGCTTGTGTACTGGCAATTCTTGGAAATACTGGACAAATATTGTGAACAAACAAAGATTAATATTAACTAGGGATGCACCATTACTGATATCGGTATCAGTGCTGATACCAAGTATTTTCACAAGTACTCATACTCGTGAAAATGCTCCCGATATCCGAACAGTATACTTTACTGTGCAATTTTCATCAATACAAAATGAATGGGTGCAAATTGCACTGTAAAGAATGGCATGCGATTTGAACAGGAATGTGGTGCAATTTCTGTCCGAATTGCATGCAGTTTCCCACACCACTCTTTTGTGAACCCAACTGACTGAAATCAAGTCTGGGTTCACACAGGAACAGTGGGGAAACCGTATGTGATTCGGACTGGAATCACACCGCATTCCTATTCAAATTACATGCCATTCTTTGCAGTCCATTCATTTTGCATGAACTCAAATCACACCGTAAAGGATCTGTACTCGGTATCGGTGAATACTTGATCAAAAGTATTGGTGTACTCGCCAATAAAAAAAGGGTATCAGTGCATCCCTAATATTAACAGTACAGGCTGCCTGTCTGGCAACCTTAACCAGTTCCACACCTTCGTATTGCAGAAATACTGCTACAGGGCGGCACGGGTGCGCAAAGTCACATAGACTGTATCTATGTTTTCTTGACCCTGCTTATTTCTAAGCAAATATTTGCCTTCTGTCATTGTGACATTTATACACAATGTGTTTCTGTTGTAATTGTGTAATGTTTTAAAAATTTTGCTTCGGCTCTTAATAAAAATCTACAATTAAAAAAAGAAAAAAAAAACCCATTGCTTTATAAATTTAGGCCAAATGTATTCTGATATATATTTGTGGTACAAAAAAAAAAAAAAAAATTCCATTAACTGTATATTTATTGGTTTGCGCAAAAGTTATAATGTCTACGATATGATATAGATACTGGAATTTTTATTTGATTTTTTCTAATACTAGCGATGGCGGCGATCAGCGAATTATAGCGGCACTGTGATATTGCAGTGGACAATCGGACACTAACTGACACTAACTGGCACTTTGTGGGAATCAGTGACACTAATACAGTGATCAGCGCTGAAAATATGCACTGACACTGTACTAATGACACTGGTGGTCAAGCTTTAAAACATATCCAATAAAAAAAAATTTAAAAATCAAATTGCTTCATAAGTTTAGGCCAGTATGTCCTTACAGGATGTCTTCAACTTACAAGCCGACCTCAATGCACTGCTTAACTGCCTCCCGCCCGCCATATAAGGAAATGACAGGTGCAAGGCGGTTCTCTCGTTCTGGGAGGATGTCACATGACATCCTCCTACTCTAAACCGGGAGTGCGCAGTGCGGCGATCAGTGGTGCGCTGTATCCTTTGGACACAGCGGATCCCTGATCAACGGAAAGAGCCAAAAACATCGGCTCAGTCATGTGATCAGCTGTGTCCAATCACAGCTGATCGCATGTAAATAGGGAACTGTCGGTTATTGGCATTTCTCTCCTCACGAGCTGTCATGCTGTGAGAGACAGTAATCATTCCTCAGAGGGGACATGTACACTGATCATCAGGGCACTGACGATCAGTGTGTCCTGATGATCAGTGCAGCCCCAGCAGTGCCACCTGTCAGTGTCCATCAATGCCAGCTGTCAGTGCTCATCAGTGCCACCTGCCTGTGCCCATCACTGCCACATCAATACCACATATCAGTGCCTACCAGTGCACATAAATGCCACATGTCAGTACCCATCTGAGCTGCCTTTCAGTGTCACCTATCGGTGCCAGTCAGTGCCACCTATCAATGCCAGTCAGTGCCACCTATCAGTGCTGCCAATCAGTGCCACCTATCAGTGCCAGACAGTGCCGGACAGAGGACAAGGGGGCACTCTTTACATCTCGAGGAAAAGAAATTTAATCTCCAAAACACGAAAGGTTTCTTCACATTGAGAGCTGTGAAAATGTGGAATAGACTCCCTCAAGAGTTGGTTCTGGCCAGCTCAGTGGATTGCTTTAAAAAAGTCCTGGATTCTTTCTTGGATACACAGAATATAACTGGATACTAACACTTATAGGTAACGTTGATCCAGGGAATATCCGATTGCCTCTCGGGGGATCAGGAAGGAATTTTTTCCCTGCAGGAGAAAATTGGATCATGCTTTACTGGGTTTTTTGCCTTCCTCTGGATCAACTGTGGGTATAGGATTATAACGTTTTTTTTCTTAATGGCTGAACTGGATGGACTTTTGACTTTTTTCAGCCAGAATAACTATGTATGTATTCTGCTACATATTTTTGGTAAAAAGAAAATCACAATAACTGTATATTTATTGATTTGTGTCTACAATATGGTATAGATACTGGAATTTTTATTCAATTTTTTTATACTGGCAATGGCGGCGATCAGCGAATTATAGTGGGACTGCGATATTGCGGTGGACAATCGGACACTAACTGACACTTTGTGGGAATCAGTGACACTAATACAGTGATCAGTGCTGAAAATATGCACTGACACTGTACTAATGACACTGGTGATAAAGGGGTTAACTGTGTGCCTAGCTATGTGTAATGTGTACTGTGTGTGCTGTTTTCACTAGGAAATGTGCTGGATTTATTCCCTGCTTGCAGGGAAAGAGAAACCAGCACATTGCCGCTGACAGGACACAGCTCTGCATTGTTTACCATCCATTGGCTGGCACCCACTGATTGGCTTCTATTGTGACCAATCACAACAGAAGCAGTGCGCTAGTGGCGCGCACGCACACCCATGATCAGAAAGTGCAGGATCGTGTTTATATACAGTATTCTGTACAGCGCAGCTGCCCTGTAGCAGTAGATCTGCACTGGGGCGGTCGGCAAATGATTAAAGAGAAATAAATTGTTTTACTGAGAGAAATAAAGGGTTACTGAAACATTAAATAATTACCTTTTCTGGGGGAAATACTGCTCGAGGCTGCCTTCGGTGCTGATAGCCTAGCAAATGGCCCTAGGCTGGTGGTTACATGATATTTGCTGAAAGGGAGGATTAGGGGGTTCAAATCTGTGAGTCGATTTTCTGCATAAACTGCAATGCCTTCCTGCATCTGCCTCCTTCTCTAAGTGTTTAGTATCTTTGCCCGCAGCAAAAATAGCAGGACATAAGCCCAATATCTAAGTGATGGGTGGAGATGTGTACACAGTGCAAATGTGAACCAACACATACATTACACAGTTCTTTCTATCATGTTAACTCCCAGCAGCCCTATGACAGAATCATTTACATTTTGATTACACGAGCTGTCATCTGATTCTCTGTGTTAGACTGACAGCACTGTGCAATCAGCAGATGAAGCCTTGTTCACTGTTCTGGCCCTCCCTCTCCTAGTCCTGCTGTGTAAGGGATCACAGGCAGCTAATATAAGGATTGGATTCCTACAAGCCTTGCTTCAGGGCCGCTTCACCCTGGAATGTGCGCATTCCCGTTCGTTCCCTGCGTGGTCTGAATTTGCATTAGATGTGGTGGCTGCATTAGTTTTTCTTTTTTTTAGTCCATATGGAAGAAAAATATATTTGAAATGTTTAAAAAATATGCTTCCCAAATATATTGACATATATTTGAAATACTACAATTTCGTCCATATTCAATACATTTCAAAACATTTCAATATATATATATATATATATATATATATATATATATATACACACAGTGGGGATCGAAAGTTTGGGCACCCCAGCTAAAAATTTGTATTAATGTGCATAAAGAAGCCAAGGAAAGATGGAAAAATCTCCAAAAGGCATCAAATTACGGATTAGACATTCTTATAATATGTCAACAAAAGTTAGATTTTATTTCCATCATTTACACTTTCAAAATAACAGAAAACAAAAAAAATGGCGTCTGCAAAAGTTTGGGCACCCTGCAGAATTTATAGCATGCACTGCCCCCTTTGCCAAGCTGAGACCTGCCAGTGTCATGGATTGTTCTCAATCATCATCTGGGAAGACCAGGTTATGTCAATATCAAAGGTTTTAAATGCCGAGACTCATCTGACCTAGCCCCAACAATCAGCACCATGGGTTCTTCTAAGCAGTTGTCTAGAAAACTGAAACTGAAAATAGTTGACGCTCACAAAGCTGGAGAAGGCTATAAGAAGATAGCAAAGCGTTTTCAGATGTCAATATCCTCTGTTCAGAATGTAATTAATAAATGGCAGTCATCAGGAACAGTGGAAGTAAAAGCAAGATCTGGAAGACCAAGAAAAATATCAGACAGAACAGCTCGCAGGATTGTGAGAAAAAACACTTCAAAACCCACATTTGACTGCACGATCCCTCCAGAAAGATCTGGCAGACACTGGAGTTGTGGTACACTATTCCACTATAAAGAGATACTTGTACAAATATGGTCTTCATGGAAGAGCCATCAGAAGAAAACCTCTTCTATGTCCTCACCACAAAAATCATCGTTTGAACTTTGCAAATGAACATATAGACAAGCCTGATGCATTTTGGAAACAAGTTCTGTGGACCGATGAGGTTAAAATTGAACTTTTTGGCCGGAATGAGCAAAGGTACGTTTGGAGAAGAAGGGGCACAGAATTGAATGAAAAGAACCTCTGTCCAACTGTTAAGCATGGGGTTGGATCAATCATGCTTTGGGGTTGTGTTGCAGCCAGTGGCACAGGGAACATCTCACGAGTAGAAGGAAAAATGGATTCAATAAAATTTCAGCAAATTTTGGATGGTAACTTGATGCCATCTGTGAAAAAGCTGAAGTTAAAGAGAGGATGGCTTCTACAAATGGATAATGATCCCAAAAACACCTTGAAATCCAAGGGGGATTACATCAAGAGGTGTAAACTGAAGGTTTTGCCATGGCCTTCACAATCTCCTGACCTCAACATAATTGAAAATCTATGGATAGACCTTAAAAGAGCAGTGCGTGACAGACAGCCCAGAAATCTCAAAGAACTGGAAGACTTTTGTAAGGAAGAATGGGCAAAGATACCTCAAACAAGAATTGAAAGACTCTTGGCTGGCTACAAAAAGTGTTTACAAGCTGTGATACTTGCCAAAGGGGGCAGTACAAGATATTAACTCTGCAGGGTGCCCAAACTTTTGCAGACGCCATTTTTTTGTTTTCTGTTATTTTGAAAGTGTAAATGATGGAAATAAAATCTAACTTTTGTTGACATATTATAAGAATGTCTAATCTGTAATTTGATGCCTTTTGGAGATTTTTCCATCTTTCCTTGGCTTCTTTATGCACAGTAATACAAATTTTTAGCTGGGGTGCCCAAACTTTCGATCCCCACTGTATATATATATATACTGTATGTTGAAATGCATATTTATTACAAAATTTTAAATTTTTAAAAAATATTCTTCCCAAATATATTGACATATATTTGAAATACTACAATTTTGGCCATATTCAATACATTTCAAAATATTTCAATATATATATATATATATATATATATATATATATATACTGTATGTTGAAATGCATATTTATTACAAAATATATGAAAAATATTTTTTTAAATACATTTCAAATATACTGTATGTCTTTAACAACACAAATCTACATTTTTGGAATGCATTTACAAATATATGTTAAAACTACTTTTTTATATGTTAAAAAAAAATCTGAAGAATATATTTTAAAAAAATATATTTAAAAAACGTTTTTTTTTTCATATATTTTGTAATATATAAAAACGCATTTCAACATGCAGTGTGTGTATATATATATATATATATATATATATATATATATATATATATATACTGTATGTTGAAACACGTTTTTATTACAAAATATATGAAAAAAAAATTTAAAAATATATTTAAAATATATTGTATGTCTTTAAAAATAAAAATCTACATTTTTGGAATGCATTTACAAATATATATGTTAAAATGGCTTTTTTTATATGTTAAAAAAATCTGAAGAATATATTTTCAAAAAATACATGTAAAAATTTTTTTTTCATGTTTTGTAATATATAAAAACGCATTTCAACATGCAGTGTATATATATATATATATATATATATATATATATATATATATATATATATGCATATGCATATATATTCCAGAAATGTAGACTTGTATTTTAAAGACATACAGTATATTTGAAAATGTATTTTTAAAAATATATTTCACATATTTTGTAAAAAAACACATTCCATCATAATATATATATATATATATTAGCCAAATATATTTCAAAATATATGCCTATATATATATATATATATATATATATATATAGGCATATATTTTGAAATATATTTGTAGTATTAGTAGTATTTCAAATATATGTCAGTATATTTGGGAAGAATATTTTAAAAACATATTTCAAATATATTTTTCTTCCATGTGGGAGGCTTTATTTCCCTCTGTCTTCACCTGGTGTTCTGGCTAGTAACACACCCCCTGTAATAAATGAGACACCACTCTGGGTGAAGGAGCACAGGAGGCACAGCAGACAGCAGCATTGTCAGTCCTTTTGAGAATAAAGGTTTTCCATGAATAAATAAAAGCTGGTCATTGTAAGCACCTCTGTTAGTGTTAAATGGTTTGTCACACCTCTGTAACTGATACACTGTGCTGGAAAGTTTGTGCTTGTGAAAAAAACTACAGACTTGCTGGATGGATCACCAGATGAAAATAGAAAAAAGAAAGCCTAAAAAGACAACTAATGCAGCCATCACATCTAAGACTTGGTAAGCTGCGATATAATAAATGTTTGCTTTTGGATTTAATACCACTTTAGATCCAGCTTTCCCTTAATTCTTGCAGTTACACAGGCTCCTCCCCTGTACTGAAACTGTTTACACTGTTTT